GCAGCCCCATCCATTCTAGACCAGAGTGGTGTTAACCTTCAAAGAAAACACAAATCCAATGTCAGAAGGCTTGACTAAGGAGCCGAGGTCTTTTCTGTGGGTTTCTGTAAAGGGGCTATCCTCGTGGTTTCACAAAGCACACCGGGGGAAGCAGTTTCTCAGAAAATCTCTCTGGATATGATCCTTCTTCCCAACGTTCCATGTCCATGCAACCCTGCATCTCTGGTTCCTTGCTACTTCCTCCTGAAGTCACCCTCCTGCAGGGGTCTGGTGTACTTGCTCACACGGTTCTATCACATCTGTCCTCAGTGTCCTAGGCTGTAAGACCCAGAGGTTCTCCCAGGCCCCCTTGTTCCTATAGCAACGAGGTATAGAGTATCCTGGGAAACAGTCCTCTTTGTGTTTTGAGCAATGCATTGTCATGGAATATCTATAATAAATTAATGTATTCATCCACATGTTTTGATTATTGTGGGGAATTAAAAACATGCAAAAGCAGGAAAAAGAGCTTTATGAGCCCCCATGTATCTATCACATTCAGCTTCAACAATTTTCAACATACTTGCCTGTCTATTATTTCCTATATATCTCTAACAACCTTTCAGATTATTTTGGAGAAAATCCTAGACATAATAGACAATATCAGGTCATTCATCAATACTTCAGTTTTATATCTAAAATATATTTTTATTTTGAAGAATTTTAAATTTAAGGTTACAACTACATACATATAGTACACCTAGATTTACCAAGATTTTATCATTCTCTATACACACACACACACACACACACACAGCCTTTGTGTGTTTTTCATAAAACTATTTGAGAGAAACTTGTAGGTATCTTGACTTTTCATTCCTAAATAATTCAGATTGTTATTTCCTAAGATCAAAGACATTCTCTTGCATAACCATAAAACAATGTTCAGTTCAGGAAATTTAACCTAGATTATAAGACTTGTATAGAATCTATATTAAAATATCAATAACATCATGATAGCAACTTTTACTGATCCAGAATCTACTCTAGGATTACACATTACACTGAATTGTGTTTTCTCCTTAACCTTTAATTTGAAAATCACCATCAATCTTTGTCTTTTATGAACTTTGACATTTTTGAAGAGTAGGAGTCAATTGTTTTGTAGAAAATGTCCCTGATTTAACTTTGTTCCATTGGTTTTATGATTGCATTTCTGGCAGGAATGCCACTTAACTGAGGTAGTCACAAAGCACATGAAGTCAGTCAGGATGCCATTACTACTGGTGCTAACTTTGATCACTTGATTCAGATGGGGTCTGCATATTTATCTGCTGTAAAAATACTCTTTTCTGTTTGAAATACATAAGCAACAGGCTTTGAAAAATGTTTAATAGAACATGTTTCTCACTGTGCTTTCACTCAGTGATTTTAGCATTCATTGATGATTCTTGCCAGGATAAATTCTATTATAGTTGCAATATGGTAAATTTTGAAATAATTCCTTCTTAATTTATTAATCAGCATTCTACTGTAGAGCTTTCCCCTTTCCTTCCTCATCTTTTTTTTTTACTTACCCATTTCTTTTTTTAAATTTAAATATTTATTTATTTATTTTTTAGTTTTAGGTGGACACAATATCTTTATTTTTATGTGGTACTGAGGATCAAACCCAGTGCTTCTTGCATACTATGTGAGCACTCTACCACTGAGCCACAACCCCAGCCCTTACTTACTCATTTCTTTGTATTTCTTATTATCTGTATGAACACATGAATTTTTAATTCAAAGTATTCTAATGTATTGCTGTCATTTATTTTGATACTTTCCCCAAATTTGACCAAGCCAGTTCCTTATTGTGTTTCTTTTCTGATTACTTTAGTGGCAGGAGATAACTTTACAGCAAAAGTTTCTAAGCACACCTCCTTGCCTCATAATAAATCTTGGCTCACTGAACAGGACTGGCCTGTCACCTACTTCCCATCTGGTGTTCCTTCTCTTTAGAAGGCTTGTGGGCAGAACCTCCACCCTTTGTCTCTGGCCTTAGGCTATTTATCACTTTCAGGTTCCTTCCCTATGATGGCTTAAACCTCCCCTTTGGTTTGCCTGCTTTCTCCCCTCCCTAGCTCTTAGCAGAGTTCCTAAAGCAGACTAGGTACTTATTAATGGGCAAATGAATAGTTCTAAATCATTAGAAATAAACTTTTGAAAACTATGGCTAAATAGTTTAAATGTAGCACATGAGAATATACAGTATGAAAACGTGTTTATTTTTTCACAGAAAATACAGGGAGAATGAAAAAAACGTTCTCAGCAACTGAAACACTGGCCTTTAAAAGGGAATGTCTTGCTTTTCTCATTGGTTAAATCAACATTCATTCATTCAACAGGTACTATGTGCCACCTATAGTGTTACAGAGATCACTGAGCTGCATCTGGCCCCGGGGAAACTGATCATTTTATTGGAGTGATAGTCACATGTCAATTGAAAATTAGAGTGTAATAAAGCTTTAATAGAGCTATGAATGAAGCACAAAGAGGACACAGAAGGAAAATCAACCATCGACAGAGAATAGATTTAAATGGTTGACTTTTGAGCTATTATTTGAAGAATAAACAAGATTTGACCAAAGTAGGGAATACTTATGGCAAGGGAAATTGCATTCTTTAGAACCTAGGGGCTCATGAAAGCATCACACATTTAAAAACAAATTCTTTCCTCTCAATGCAGTGCTAGGGATTGAACCCAGGGCTCTGGAGCATGCGAGGCAAGCACTCTACTACTGAGCCACATCACCAGCCTTGTGTTTTGTTTTCATAGGACTTATCACAAATCTGTTGGTTTGCTTTTCAGTCTTCAGTGCAAAGCTTGTGCTACATTCCAGAGTAGCCCTAGCAACTCACCCAATGTCTTAAAACATGTTTGGTACATGAAAGTGATCGAAAAGTTATGGTGTCTAACCCCACAAGGTACGAAAGGTAAGTAAGTGACTGGGCTGAAGGAAGACAGGCTAGGACTAGTTTGTGAAGGGACTTCTTTCCATGAAAGAGAGTTGGTTTTCCTTGTAGGGGGGAAAAAAAAAACAAGGATCCAGTGAAGGCCTTTAATGAAAAGATGGTGACAAAATTTTTTAAGGAAATGCTTGTTGGCACTATGAATGATGGACAGTAACCAGAAGGCAAACCTACTAGGGAGAGGGAGAAATGTTTTAATTCATTTTTTTCTCCTGAATTATCATATATGCTTTAAATATTAGAGGAAAACTCAATCTTAGGTGATTATTATCTGTAAAAATATAGCTATGAATATTTAATTTGCGATTTTTTTCGGATGTGACAGGTATTACAAAGGAGAAGACACTGATAAGGATGGCATTACACATATACCCAATATAAGGGGGAGGAGTCCAGGAGGCTTTCTTCCAAAATGTAGAACTGTCAGAATTTGAACATCATGGATAGGAACGAACAAGCAGCCCAGGTACACAAAGACCACGAATACACATACCCAGACCCAGACCCACAACAGCCTCAGTCCTCCACCATGCTAGGGGCAGAACCCAAGGCTCAGACCCAGAATAGTCTCCCTCCACTGTGGTAAAACCCTTGGCTAGGCAAGCACTCTGGTACTAAGTCACATTCCGTTAGCCTAATGCCTTTTTGATGGGGACGGGGGAGGCGGGCCCCAAAATTTGGAATAATTCACATATGATATATATCATCAAGAGCAAGGATACAGAAAACCAGGCAATAAGCTTAAAAGGGAATGCTTTGTGCCCCGCCCCCCCGCCCCCCACTAAAATTGATCAAGGGAGGGTAAGACATTCTTGTTTTGGAAGACATTTGCTACTCGAGTCTAGAGTCTTTCCATTCTCGTTGAAATCGCGCGGAGTTTTCGTGGACCCCGCTCAGGAGCTACTGCAAACACCTTCGGTTTCTCAGTTCCAACCCCTCGTCCACATTCCGCACTTGCAAAAGCCTGTCTTCCAGACCCAGGGCCTCGCTGGGGGCGGGGAGAGGGGACTTTGGGCCAAAGTCGCCGTCGCCAAAGGCGCGAGGATCTAGGTTAGGGGTCGCGGTCCCGATGGGCAGGGTTGGGAAGGGGTCGCAGGACGCAGGCATGAAAGGAGTCCAGGCCCTGGGGAAGCGACACGGGAACCGGTCGCAGTGGTGGGGGGGCGCAGGCGTCCCTCTGTCGGTGGGTGGCACAGGGGCAAGGGCGGGGGTCGAGATATCGGGGAAGGGAACAGAGGCAAGGGAACAGATGCAAGGGAATGGATCAAGGGAGGGTAAGACATTCGAGAGCGTCCTCGACCTGAGTGTTCTCTGCTGCCTATGAGAGGTACACGCAGTAACCGTAGTCCCAGGGTCAGGTCGCTCCCAAGACCTGCTCGGAAACAACCTCGCAGCCCACCGCCTTCAGGCGGGGCCGCGGGGCGTGGCGAGAGGCTTGCGGCGGCGTGGGGCGGGGCGGGCAGCGTGCGTGCGCCGAGAGTGCAGCGGGAGCGGGGCGGGGCGCGGCGCGGTAGAGAAGGGAGTTGTGCGCGCCGCGGGGCGGGCGGACGACGTGCGCGCACGCGCCAATCACAGATGCCGCGAGAGGGGTGCGCGCGGAGAGGCCAAAGGAGGCGGAAGGACGGCCCGGGTGCCGCCCGCATCCAATCACCGCGTCGCGTCGCCATGACGTGAGACTCTCCCGGGCGCCGTTCGCCAGTCGGCTGGCCCGGAGGGTGAGTGCGCCGGGGCAGGGCGCGGGGGCGCGCGGAGGCGGGACTTCCGTAGGTCCCCGGAAGTGGGAGCTGTGTGTTCTCATGCGAACGGGAAGGAGCGTTGGGGATCCGGAGTCTCGAGGTTGAGACATTTTCGGGCCCGAAAGGGGAAGAATCCATCCCCGCCGCAGCCAGCCCGCGCCCGCACTTCTTTCCTGCCTTCGGCCCGGCCCGGCCGCGCCGCCTCTTCCTGCCGTCTCCCTCCTCGGCCGTCCCCGCGTGTTGCGCGGTCGCCGGGCACCGGGGCTGCGGCGAGGAGCCCGCGGGCGGCCGGTCGGGCGGGGCGGGGGGCGCTGACAGGTGAGCAGGCCTTCTTTGGCCACCGGCTGGGCGGCCTTCCTCCTGGGCCGGTGCTCGGACCCGCGCCCGCGCCCGTCTGTCACCGGGCCGCCATCTTCCCGGAGGGACGAGGCCCGCGGCGGGCAGGGCAGGGCCGGGCACAGGCTTCGGTCGGGGATGACTGCGGCTGGGGCCTGGGTTTGGGGGGCCGGACAGGACCGGGGCCGGGGGGGACCAGCGGGGCCGGTGCTGGGGTCAGGTGGGGCGGGAAGGACTTGCGGGTCAGGGCCGAACGGGTCCGGCACGGCCTGGCCGGCAGGGTTGTGGCACGGCGGGGCGGGTCCAGGGTCGCCCCCGAGGCCTTGTGCCTTAGGCCCAGCGGATTCGCCCGTGCAGAGAATGGGTTGGGGTCGTAGGCCGCGAGCGCCCTCGGGCCGGGCCGGGCCGGCGCCGGGTCCCGCAGTGCGGCGCGGGGCTTCGCCCCCTCCGTCCCGTCGGAGCTCGGCTCAGGCGGCCTCGCTGCTGCTCCGTCAGGGATGGGTCATTAGGGAATCGCATTCCTTTAGAACCAGGAAGTTGGGATCTTGTCGCTCGAGTGTTTGGAATGCTACCTTTCCCACTTGATAGATCCGACCAGGGGTACATTCTGAAGGAGTTAAAAAATGAAAGTCAAACGGGTAGATTCCCAGCGTTGGTCACAGGACTGGGACCTACAGTCTGCACAGGAGCTGGTAAGGAACTTCTTAGTCACCTACTTCTTGGGGGTGTACGGTTGGAACGTCGAGAGCAATTTCGACTTCAGGTCATTGCGTATTGTAACTTTTAGTGAATGTAATCTGGCCTTCTCCCTCATTTTCATGTAAAACGGTCTTGAATTTTAGCTGAGATGGAACTTGCGAAAATTATGTCTGCCTGGCTTTCATTTGAGACCTTTTCACTGGCAACAAAATATCTGGACTTAATCATAAACTCAAAGTTTGAGCTTTTTGGAACTGAATAAACGGATTTTTCTTGACTGTGTAGTAGAGTTAGTTTGTGAATATGAACATAAAGTGCGAGGGGTTTGATAGAGATAATAGCAACTTGAAGTGAATGTGTGAGTAAATATTAAAGTAATTTTCTCTTGAATTTTTTTTTTTTTTTTTTGGTGGGGGCAGGATATTTAGCTATTATTTTCGGCTGTGTTAAATACTGAATTTGTGCTGAGTTGTAGTTTGCAAAGGCCGCAAAGGGAGAGAGGAGTGATGTTCACTTTTTGGGGGTGGTCAGACAGTATGCGATTTCCATACTTCCCCAACCTGCCTGGCTCCCCTAATTTACAGTCAGGGTAATTTACAGAAGTTGAAATGGTTGTGGCTTTTCCCTCTGTGTTTAATGTACTGAAAAGCAGTTTTGTAATCAAGCTATACAAGAAATGACTTAAGGAGGTTTGCTTGAGTTGTTAAAGTGAAATACTTTCTGAAAGGCATCAAATTAACACGTTATTTAGTCAACCATAAATTTAATTTATATACTTCCTTTGAAGAAAGGGAAATAAATTTTATTTTGTATTCTAAAATATTAATGTGATTGTTTACAGGAATAAAAATATGACATGGCTTCTTGTTTATTAGAAATTATTTTCTTGGTGCTCTGATTTCTATATCTGTAAAAGAGGGATGATAATACCCTTACAGGACTATTGTATCACAAACATGTAGATGTTGGCTGTTTTTGCTATTTTATTATTGAACTGCTGTTTTAATGTTTACTGTGTAACTGTTAACTTTACTAGCAGAATTTGTTTGTTTGTTTGTTTTCCTTGATCAGGGGTATCTGGGCAGAGAAGACAGGTTCTGAAGGCAGAATGTAAATTTGGACAAAAGAGTTACACTACATTTGAGTAGGAACCAGAGAGAAAATAAATGATAATATAACTATAGAATTTTCTTAGCATTCATTTTGCCATGTTCTCTAGATGAGTAGCTGAAATTAAGTGGCAGCAAATTCAGGGAGAAAGTTTATTTTACTTAATGTTCTTGAGAATTGCCCTTGAAAAAAATGAGATTTAGAGAATTAATTGAATTTAATGTGATTACCATAAATATAAACAAATTTTGACAAATGTATATTTAAACTTGAAACATTTAACTTAGTCACCTGTTTTTATGAAACCATCTTCACCTTATCCTAAAACATAATTCTCAAATACTAAATACAAATTGGGACATCAAATTGTTAATGGTAATTACAATAAATTGCCCTAAGTTACCAGAATAGCTGCACTCTTAGTGTAAATTGCAACAATATTTACAAATTTTTGTAGTGACCAAGAAATAACTAACAAGCTTCTTTCTTTCACTGTTTTAATAAAAAGTGTCATGTTGACATTCATACTTTTCTACAAAACTATGAACTAGTATTATAATCTAGGTCTTCCAGTTTTAGAAAGGTGTTATCTTTTTGATGGTATCTTGAGGTTGAAAAAATGCTGTGTTGGAACAAATTCCATATGTTCTTAAGTTAGAGTAAATTTTAAAATGTTTTATAACCCTTGTTATACTCTTGCAGATTTCTCTCAGTTTTAAGGATATTCTTTCAGATTGATAAATGTAAGAAAATCCTAAGGTATACTTCTGTTAATTTCTCCTATAAAACGATAAGAACAACCTTTTTATATTGGGTAGAAGAAAATGTCAACACTCGAATTGTATTGGTGGAAAATACAGTGTTAAAAATGGACACTGCTCCAGGGGTTTGCTTTTACTTTGTTTTGGGACTTTTTTCATATGAAAGAGTTCTCCTTTTTCTATAAGAGTAATTTTAGAGTACACAGTACATGAAAGACTACCTTCTAAGATGGTTAAACTCATCATATCTTAATTTTACTTTACCATTAGTTCAGTTTAAACTTTTTTGCTCTTAGGCTTGTTGATATCTTTGAAGTTGCTGTACTTCTGAAGTTATATTGAATGAAAAATGAATTTTTATTTATATTTTTAAAAATCAGGACATGAATTGTAAGGTAGAAAGTCATTGGGTTCCCTTGTGAAGAGAAGGAGAATAAATTCTGTCTTGGAATTTTTTCCCCTGATGTTCTAATGGTGTTTTTCCCACGTGTAAATATCTCCTTTAGGAACAGGGAAAAGTATTAGCTCAGCTGTTTCCTTCCTTTCTCTTCCTTGTCCTCCTTCCCCCGTACCTTTTGCCCCTCAATACCTTATAAACTCTCCTTATACTGTTTTTTTCTGTGAATCTGTCATGACTCTTATTTTAATCATGAAGGATTTGCAGTTGAGTGATGTTGCTGATTTTACATCTTTCATAGTCTTGTTCTTTCTTTGTTGTCAGCCTCAGCTAGTGTGATGTGTGCCATAGAGTGCACAATAATATTGACAATATTTTGTACTTAACCTAAATTTGAAAGCATGCTAATTTTTTTAGGGGACATTTAATACTCATGATATAACACCTAGTCTTCACTGAAAATGTTTGTGAAATCAAACTTATAAGTTAGGCTGGTATTTATTTGCCTGACCAAAATAATTTATTATTTGCATATACTAATTTGTTATACTATAGTCAGATTACTATAAAGTTATATATTTATTGCTTGGCCCTTTATAGAACCTCATCAGGACTGTCCCAGGTGCTCCTAAGCATAACATGCCTCCCACTGTGTGTGACTGTGCTACCTCTGTCTTCTTTCATTTACTGCCCCACCTTTCAGGCTGGACCACTGCCTCTCTCTCCTCTGCCCTTTCTTCTCCTCCTCCCCCTCAACTGTGGTGTTGCAAACATAGGTGCCTTTGCCTGAAATTGAATGTTCCTCTTTTAAATTTTTAAAAATTTTTACTTATTTCCTTATCTTTAAGAAGGCATTTCAGGAGTTTTTGCCTCAATTTCTGAGGTTAGACTCAGGGCTTCTCTATTTTCATAGCACCTTATGTATACTTTGTCTTATTCAGCAAGTATTAATTAATATAACCTCCTTATGAGCAAGATCCTTTGTACATACCTCATTACCCAACTCAGAGCCTGGTATACAATAGATGTTTAGTAAAATTAGTTTAACTAGAGGGATAAAAGCATGCCTAATGACAACTCCCACCTTAGTTTTAGAGAAATTGTTTCCAGATCATGTATTTGCTTAAGTATGTAAACAAATGTGAAAATTTTCACCTAAAAAAGATGCATTAGAGTCAAGGCTTGGCGTAGATCTGTAATCCCAGTGATTTAGGAAGCAAGGCAGGAGGATTGCAAGTTCAAGGCCAGCCTCAACAATTTAGGGAATCCCTAAGCAACTTAGTGAGACCCTGTTTCAAAATAAAAATAAACAAATAAATAAAAAGGGCTGGGGATTTAGCTTACTAATAAAGTGCCCCTGGATTAAAGAAACTTTCTCCTAGTGCATAAAAATTATATTTAAAAAATTTTAACTGACTTTTCATAGCTGCATCTACTGTATAAGTGGTTTTGGTACAGTAATTTAACTGTAAGACCTCCAGATTTTACATTCTCAGTCTTCCAATCTTGCCTTTTTTGTTTTGCTTTGAAATTAAAACAAATTAGCCAAAACAAAGCAGTTATAATATTGAAAACATTTTTAATGCAGTGTTCTATTTAGTCATGTAGACTAGCATTTGGATGCTGATGGCTCTCAGTTCTAAACTTCCTCAGGTAGATCCCTATAACTGTCACATTTATTATGGCATATCTTGCACCAGACTCTCCTTGTTTTTCTTCCCTGCTTTATTTTTCTTCACAGTACTTATTGAATTATAACACACCATATAAATTACTTAGGGGTAGTTTGTGCTCTTGAACTTGACTGTAAATTCCATGAATTATGGGAGATTTTGTTCATTTCTTTCAGTGATATGAGCCCAGAACTTAAAATTGTATCTGACACATACTATGCACTAAATTATTTATTATTTACTCGTGTGTGTGTGTGGGTGTGGGGGTACTGGGGACCAAGGACCTCATGCATGTTAGGCAAGCATTCTACTACTGAACTATGTATGCTCCCAATCCTCTGA